GCCCATGTGGCCTGCGACAAGTCACCTATTTCCAAAGTCAAAGCCGCGGTCACAAAGCCGAAGCTTGCGCAGAATGTCTACAGCCCCCTTGACTGATAACCCTTGCTGGTTAAAAACACCCTTGCTTAAATAAGGTACAATAGGATTCTCAGAATTCTTTTGTGACCTCCTTCCGAATTTGAGATCTCCACACCTGCCTTGCACCAGCTATGTATATATTATCATCCCCAGGACCCTGCTAAGGGCTGATTTTTGCAGCGGACGCTCCAGGTTCTTGAGGATGTTGAACTTGGCATCTGCCTTCTCCGCCCTGCCATGTTTTCTCGGCACAGTGCGGTTGCCGGAAACCATCCCGCATTACCCTTCATCTATAAATTCATTATGCAGTTGCGGATGTCCCAAAATAAGTTGCTTAAGCACCCTGATGAGGACTCCTGGACTGCCGGTTTGGGGCAGCCAAGCAAGTCTGAAACGTTCCCTGCCTGCCTTGGAAAAAGTTGGCATGGGTAATACACACCAGAAACGTGCAGCGGATATATCATCGCAGTACCCAAACGCAAGTAGCTAGTAATAAGCCAATAGGCATAAACGGCGACATGCCAAAAAACGTGCCGAAACCCTACCCCTTGAAACCCTAGACCGCGTACTTGCGTGTAATTGGCATCCGAGCGGCTCTTCCAGCATCTCTTCCCTTTCTGGCGTGACTGTCCAATCTGGGCGAGTATGGCTCCAAACAAACCAATTCAGAACTTTACTGATCTGGCTGCTAAAGATTGGTAATAGTGAGGATGCTGCGCGGTGCAAGCTATGACACCAAATTCGATTTACCTAGATTTTTGATCCAAGGGACCAGCTCACCAAGACTGCATTCCACAATGCAGCCATGAAAAGTTCTAGACCTACCGCACTTCATCTTTCTTAAGGCCCAGGCTGATGATTGCCTTCACGATGCGAACCTTCCGGTTCCTGGCGAAGCAGCGCTAACACTCTCACGAAGCAGCAGCAGTAGCAGCAGCAGCAGCAGCAGCAAGAAGCCTGGTAAAGCTACCGTCTTCCCAACGGCTCCACACGGTGCAGCTTCGGATAAGGAGCGTGTCAAAATGTGCCTCAGGCCCTGTGCTTTCTTAATGAGGAGCTGGTTCCGCCAAGCATTCTGACGGTTCTTCGCAGAACCAGGGGTCAGACAGAAAGTCCTCAAAGTAATGATGCCCGTCGGCGCTACTCTGGCAGTTATGCCTTTGCTGCTGTCGCCAGTGAAAACAGGCTGCCCTTCTGCCAGTTAGCCTATTGCTTTTGCGAAGCTTGAGGTTTCCCAAACTTAGGGGTGCCTTTCAGGGGTCCCAATAAGAAGGGCTATAGTATATTAGGGTCTATGTCGGGGTCCCCTATTTTGGGAAACTACCACTCACCCCTCATTACACCCTAAACCCAACCCACATGTAGTCCCCCTCAAGTAGATAGAATCTGGTGTGTATGGGGATCTTACTATAATATACCCAAAGCCACATTCTATCTGCTGGAGGGGGAGTATATATTCAAGGTTCCTAGGCGAGGTCCTTGCCGCTACCATCAGAGCTGTTGAGCCTGAGATGTCGGGCTCCTTCGATGTTGCAAAGAGTTATTGGGATAATGGAACATAAATTGGAAAAACTAGTGGGGTTAGGGCTGTTTTCGATCTTATAGTTGTAGATTATGTTACGGCACTTAAGTTTTAGGGGTACCAAAATGGGACCCGAATCTTCGGAACCACCCACTTCTCAAAAACACTATTATTGCGATGAATACGATTATTGCTACAAAAACAAGCGGTGGTGGTTTCTTGAATGAGGTTTTTGTCGTAAATGTGGTAGGGAAAGCAAATGCCAACAGATAAACTTCCGACACACAAACATCTGAATCTCATCTGACATTGCTCAGCCTTTCCGCAACATTCGGTAGTTTCCCAAAATAAAGGGACCCCAACATATACTATAGTCCTTATTATAGAGACCCCCAGACCCCCAGAAAGGACTCTTAATTTGGGAAACCCCCGGCTGGGCATAGCACTCCCCCGCGTGGTATAGGAATTATTAAGGGATTATATGGGGGTTATGTAGGGGTTGTATAGGGGTTATATTGGGATAATGGAAAGTTAAATGGGAACTACTGTATTAGGTTACAAGGATAGCCTGGGAGTTCTCAAAGCTTCGGGCCCCAAGGGTTAATGCAGTCCCTGTGATGACGATGATTGCATTTGGGTGTATAAATGGTACCTACTTTGGGCTACTTGGATCCCAAGTTCATGGGTTGAGAAGCTGGCAAGCGACAAGCCTTTTTCTTGGCTTCTCGCATCCGGAGGCTGCACACATGGACTTGGCTGCTTTTCAGCCACCACGCCAGATGGAGCGGAAAATCAGTGGGCCTTGCTTGAAGCTGCGCAGGCTACCAGGATCGCCTTGATGGCCAAAATTAGCAGTACAGACGCCAACTCTTCTTCATGGCAATCTTCTCATCATGACCAAGGGGCTAGAAGAAACATCATCAGTCGGGACGTCATGAAATTCTCGAATTCTTTGGAACCTTTAAGTCAGCTCTGTGCCATGCTGGAACCCATGCTTGAATCTGAAGTTGGGTCCTGCCATTGAGCACCAGTTATGGCCAAAGTGAGAGGGAAGACAAGATTCTCGTGTAGGGGCTACCTGGCACCCCTAAAACGTACGTAGAAGAATGGCTTTTTCACTATTTTTAGGAGTCAAGAGGATGTGAAGGCAACTTGGGTAGCAGGGTAGGCGCTGATGTGTTAGGCACAAGCAAGCCAAGGCCACAGGTGGCACACTGAAAGTGGCGGGAATGGACCTAGAATGAAACCATGGGATAAGGATATAGGGACTATACAGAGATTATGGGGAATGAAACCACGGGATAAAGACATAGGGACTATACAGAGATTATGGGGTCCGTTTAGAGATTCTGTAGGATTTGTTGTGAGATGGGCACAGCGCAAACGCGCCAGCGCCTCAGAAGCTGTCACCTCAGGCAGTCTCTGAGTTTGGAGTGCAGTGTTGAATGAAGAAAACCCTATAAAACCCACTATAGTAGTTTCCATTTTCTTTTCCATTATCCCAATACAACCCCTATATATACCCTATTATAGTACCATGATTCCCATTTAACCCCAATATAACTACCCTAATATAACCCAGTAAGAATGCAAAGCCTAGGATCCTGGTTCCAAAGGGCATGGTGAGGGAGACCCAGGTGCTGCTAAGAGTCCATTAAAGTAGATCATTTCAAAGTCCGACGCGCTGGTTCTTGCGGACTTTGAGCTCTCCTTGTCCTGCATCATCATGTGCTGATTGGAAACGGTGGGGTGATGCTGATGGTGATGGTGATGATGATGACAACGACCATCCGCGTGCTCCACTGCGGGCTTTGCTTGAAGGAAACACTCATAGTTATGTACCTTGAGTTTCCTACTTGATCTGACAACCGAAGTTCCAGACCAGTGTTATGGCTACGTCGACGTGCAACTTAGCATGGATCGGAGCTACAAACCCAGGTGTTGGAGTGTAAGCTTGGGCGGGTCCCCTTCAAAAATTGATGAAGAAAACACCCTGCATGGAGGAGGAGGTCAACCTACCATGGCAATCCCCTATAAACTCCAATGGAAGCCTAGTTTCCATTTCATTGTCCATCTTCTTGTCCGTTTGATTCTCCATTGTTG